AACCGACCAGCATTCAGCGACATTCATGAGGAAAGAAAAATCCTCACTCAGTAGCTGAACTCACAGACAAAAGTTCGAAGACCCCTGTGGACGATGGATGCGAGGGAACGAATCAAATGCAAAAGAAGTGCTGCGATCTGTAAAGATGTACACGACTAGTGATGTAAAATTAAAGAAGAAAAATCGAAAACAGGAAGTCAAAAAAAACAAAGTTTAAAAGCTACTGTGAAGCGAGTTCCACTTAACCTTGGCATGAATTATCAATGTACTTTCCTCCATAAGCTAGCACAACCTCGTGTTAGCCTAACAATGAAAGAACGTTTAAGAACGACACATTTCCCTAAGGTGATAGAATAACCCTTTTATAAAATTCTCATTTCCTTAAGTATTATTACTGAACAATTAACGCCACTTATCAAGAAATTCTAGCCATCACTAAAGTGTTAGATGAAGTTACACTCGTAAGTACAAAGAACTGGAAAGTTTATGAAAGCTCCAACAGGTGACAGGATTTATAAACCACTCCGAAAACTATGACTACTCATAACAGCTCTACTGGTAGGAAAGATCTCATATGAAACTAAGCAATGGAACAAACCACTCACTCACCTTGACAAGGTTCAACATTTTGTTGACAATTTCCTGACCATTCGAATATTTGAGGAATTTGGGACAGGATCGGCTCGTAGGAGAGATTTCGTTCTATCCAATCAAGTCCCTAAGTATAGTTACTTAAAGCCGTTGTTTGATTCTTAAAGTTGTTTAGAGCCAAAAAGTACAAAAGATTTGAAGACAGCATCAAACAATCGATCAATCAAGACAATTTTGCAGATACCTAACGAAAACCCGGTAGCCTTGTACTTTTGGGAATACCACCGTACCCTAACTCGTAAAATACCGCTTGTTCAATTATGTTCACTTCCGAAATACGTGACCAGAAAAGGAAAAAGTAAACAAAATATTCTTTCTACTTTTGTTCAGCAAACACGAAGTGCTATTTTATTTCTTTATTTACGTATAAGCTGACGTTTCGGCGGATTTCGCCTTCCTCAGAACCTGGAAAGGTCAAGTTGAGAGCAATCTATTCGGTCAAACACCTCCATAACCAAACATAGAAAACGCTAAACCAAGATTTCAATCACATTGAACACAACTCTGCACATTCACCGCTTTCTATGAGTCTTCCACTGAGTATGTCGCGTGGAGACCGACCGCACAGAATCCACAAGGAAGCGTAATGTGCCCCTCCCATCAGAATAACAGGCTTGCTTATATACTGTTCAATATCACGCGTGATAATGAGGCATTCCTCCCTGCGGTTCATTTTCGGATTCTTGGAATTAATCCAGAATGCCTCTAGAGTTTTGCGCGCTTGTGTTCTCCATTCTTGCGCGAGGATCGTAACCCTTACTTCAAAATACCCTTACCCTTTAAACAAAATATATTCAGTGAGATCCAGAAGCCCAGAAATCCTATCGTGGTAAAACAAAAGGACTTCTGCACTATAGGGAAAGATTTTATTAATCAAACACCTTCTACTGCAACGAAGTAAGTTCACTCTGAACAGAGACTTCTTGGTTCGAAGTCGAAAACGACCATTATTTTCGCATACCATTTTTACGAACTCCTTCCCAACTGGATATTGCGCAGGCAAAAAAAGTAGTTAAAAACAATCCACAGAATAAAGAACAAAGAATACCAGTGAAAGAGACATGCGACTGGCCGTACGACCAAGGGCATCCATCGACCAGTGAATACGAGCGTCGGCCATTTCGTCATCGTGAGAACTCTAAGGTCTGGCAGGTGTCACTTATCGCTAAGACAATCAATACAAGTTAGAGAGTCGATTTTTCTAAACGTAATACATGAATAATACTACAAAATGAGCCCATAACTACCAATTACCAAACAGTCCGACGTTTCGTTCAAGAAACGCAGCTGAGAGTAAAATACCAGGATCCACCACCCTGCTGGTATCAAACTGGTCGCACGGTGGCAAATCTCCCTCTGATCCCCAAGGGCGGCCACCGCCCGTGATGCTGGCGACCTGGGACAGGCTTTGGACAAGTTAACCTCGTGGCTCCAGGGAACCACAACGGCTTAACCAGAAAGTTCGAAAAAAAATGGAAATTATGCTGAGGCCCACACAACCAATAAAGATGGACTAACCAAGTAAATAAGTAAGTAAGCACCAAATACAATCTGCGTTTGTGTGCACTTTCAAACGCTAACTCAGGGTATCATCCAAATTCAGACAGTAAGAAACGCCATACTTGAAAGCTGACACTTGAACGGCCCGTTGTTACTGATTGTGCGGGCCCCAACATAATCATTTTTCGGAGATTTGCTGGTTAAGCCATTGTCCCGAATTCCGAGGTCAGCCTGGCCAAAGTCTGCCCCAGGTTTTCACCACCACAGACAGCCGCAGCCTTAGTGGATCAGGTGATTTGCTACTATGCGACTTTGATACCAGGCCGGTGGTAGATCGTGGTATTGTAGAAGCGCCATAGTCTTTTGAAACGACGAAAGTAATGACCTTAGAAAACCGTACTACTTTAAACCAAGCTTTTTGATCCTGACGATGCAAAACCCTACTATGCAACCACATCCGAGCAGTGATCCTTCGGTTTTTGATTTGGCTTTTAGTAATTGGAAACAATCAATACTTGTACAGAAAGATGCCATCAGCACGCATAGATCAACAGATAGGACTTTTTCGACAACCGAGCCACGGAGGAAAACATGACATAAACAGAGTAGCGACACAGAGTGTCCAACTATGCCGCGCATTCGGTCAAGCACATAAATATCCCAATACGTATGAACACTTGTCACATGCAACGTGATAAGAACTGATACGATCAACGAAGATAGCACACGACTCACTAATCAATACAACTAATCAATAAATCGATAACTAGTACTCGGAACATGGACGCTGAAATGTCATACTCTGGAGGTAGAAGAGTCACATGAGCACTCACATAGTGACTGCCGTTCCGTCTGCGCACTTCGTCTCCGATCGCACGCGGCGGCACCGATACTCAGCCGACGGTACGCAGCGAAATCGCCAATCCCAACGATCAATGCGGACCGTGTCGTCGTCGTACGGGAGCTGTTCTACTTCATCGTTCTGATGTCCACAGCAATTTTGTGCTCATTAGTGTCCTAATGTGATTATCCAGGAAAATTCTGGAATCCACCTACTGTTTAGTGTTGGCAGGTCCTGAATAGAATCAAACTGAAGTCGTCAGAAAGCAGTTGGTTGGCCATCTCAGTGTTTCTTTATGTTCTGTTTCTTCCGATCTTCATATTCAATGATTGGTGCCAGTGCAAATCTGATGCCCTTTGATGTTCATGTTTCGTTCGTGCTTAGGCATTGAGTGGTGCATCGGAAGTGCGAGGCAATCAAGGATTTTCTGCTAAAATATCTAGGTTCCACTTCTGGTTTTAGGATACAGTAGCATTTGGGTCAGTTACGCTGGTTATCGAGGTCTATTCCGTGCGCTAAAGAACCATTTGGAAGATTCATCCAGGTGATGCGTTCGTCCTGACAAACTATGGATCTCAGTGTTAGTTGGTGCGTGATAGAAATTCGTCTGTAGACCGTTTAACCAACGCCTTACTAGCTTTTCTGGTTACTATGCATCCTGATTCCTCTATCCATAGATGAGTTTAAAACATTTGCAGTGGCACATCAATCTTGTACGTTCTATGATTTTGTTTTATTTAGCAATAAGTGAGAGCAAGAGTTCAAACCGAACGAGAACAGGCAACATTGACTACCTGGTACTTCGTGAACTTTAAGAAGTCCTTTCTTGAACTACCGGCACAGTAGCGAACTATTAACATGTACTATTATTTCCAGTCAGGCCTAAAGAGGATAATGCTTTCCATGTCCGTCAATCCCTGAAGGATGCACCACCATGCATTCGATTTCATTAGGCATCGTTGGAAGTGATTGAATGCATATCTGGCTTTTACAATGACTCACGGTGGCCTACCGATGTATCGAGCTCGTGCTGCTATCCTCCCAAACAAGTCTGGTAGCAAATTGTCGACCCCGGAGTGATGGAAGGTTTGGTGGGCCATGGGTGCGGGGATCGATTCCACGTGTGTGCTGCAGGGCGCCACCATCCACTGCGCTTCACGAGTCTAGTAGTCAGGATTGGCAGTCAGTAAACATTGAAGAATTGTCTTTGGTTGAATATTGAGTCTGCAGAACAATATAGATTTTCCTTTTGTAAAGGTATTAGGTAGCTTATTTTGATTTCGTGCTATTCTCTTGACTTGTTTTACCCAGAAACTTCCGAAGTCTTATCTTGCCAATTTGTTGGTACGTTCGTCGAAGTCTGAAGAGTTCGCGCACGATTTCTTGAAGCAGATTGCAAAGTGATAAGGCAGGTAGTCCAGAAGACAATGTTTTTGTTTTTATGGATGTTTCCTGTTCTTTCTGAGTTGTGGCCGAAGAACGTTAGAATGTCTTAGGAATGAGATGTAGATGGGAAATAATCGACTTTATTTCGTTTATTTTAGGGAGTTTTTACCAAAATATTCTAATGGAGGCCTCAGGTAGATCTAATTTAGTGCGCGACTTGAATTCACTGTCCATTAGTATCGTCCCTGTGCCCGAGCTGGTGGTCTTATCTTTTAGTGATGGTTGTTGTCATCGCATTAATCACTCATTTTAGTCACCAGTTCCTCATCGATTCGTTTTTGTCATTTTTTATGTCTATGTCATCTTTCGAGAAGGTATGACGTCACCGAATTGCTGTACGAAGGATGGCAGTTGATGTTTGCCTTGAGCGTTACTATTTTCCTTATAGCTGACGTACGACATCATTTTCTCGAAGAGGAATGAGTCGCTCTTTTACTGCACATCAGTTTTTTGCTTCAAGTCGTTTTCATGTAAATTATATCGAGACTGTGTGCAGCCCTTTTTTCGTTACTTGTAAAGTGGAGTATAAAAAGCAGATTAAAGAATTTCCTTCTAGAGATTCATGCGGAGGGAGGTGAGTGGGGAAGTGCCGGAAGACTTAGCTGAGGGCTTGGCTGTTGAAAAGCAGCAGGAGCAACAATTGATGAATAAACTTGCTGCTCAAGGTCGATTACCTGCTCGTCCTGCATCTTCATTCCTGCAAAAGAAACTCCAGCAGAGGGTTCGTAGTTTCCTAGTGTTAGTTAACTATGGTAGGGGTGGAGAATTCTGTACTTGTGAACTTTTGCGCAGAAATGTTAGAACGAATACTTTCTTTATGTCTTTAGGAAATGAACCCAATTTGTGTTAATGGGTCTTCCAGTTACAGTATTGCTCTGCTCCATGGTCTCATTATCTTCTTGTTATCTAGAAGTTCTTTGACTCGGGTGATTATGCCATGGATAAGGATCGTGGCAAACAAACTGCTCCTGCCGCTCGCCTACCGCATCCGATGGCATCTCGACCACTACAAGAATCGTCTTTTCCAGCAATGAAAGCGGCTTCAATTGCCATTCCTGAAGCAATTTCGCCTGACGGAGAAACTAACCTACAGGTTGATTTCCTAAGATCCTAATTCTGGCCTTCTGTTTTTCAGACGCCATTATTTTTTGCAGATTCCACGTCCGGATACCGTACCACAAAGGAAGGCTTCCATTATAAACCCGGCGGTGCACTGCAAACTAAGTCCGATGCCACATGTTCAGGTTTGTGGTTCACGTTTGGTATGAGCAGTGATCAGTGCAAATTACCATTTCATTGATGTAGTTCTCACCACGTTTAGTATCTTCTATATACGATAAGTAGTTATACCAGCTAGTCTCGGTTGTCAGCACATTTTGTGCATTTCAGCATCACGATCTACAACCACCACAGCTCCCTTCCGTTGAATAAAGACTGGCATGTGATTCAGAAATGAACCGTGACCGCATAATCCTTGTTGAGACAATTTTTCGCCTTACCATACACTTTCAACCTTTTTCGTAACAACGTAACAAATTATCCCTGTTTCTTGTCAAGTTGTTCGATCCGATTCGTATTCTGTGTTTCTGCTATGCGGTTCTTTGATATCGCTTCTACTTCGCTGTGGTCAGCGTGTCGATATCTTTTCTTTTTGTAGTTATTTTGTACAGATAGCATGCGAGTGTTTAGCGACCGAATGAAGTCGTATGATGATTTGCGTAGTAAACACACGGAGTATGTAGAAGTAAAACTTTTTTTTTTCTTGAAAACGGATTAGAAAGAAAGGAGTTGTCTAGTACAAATCGCGATGTAACACATTTAGCTTCGCTGAAGTGCTACTAACCTCCCAACAATTTATCGCCTCATCATGGCTAGGAGATGTTCCTGGGTATCGGGTCGCGATGCACAACGAGGGGATTCCTTCCTCCCAGCAGAGTCTCCCAAGATGAGAAGGTGCGCAGCATTTCCATCAGGAAGCCCAGCTAAGATTAAACCAGTACTAGGATACATCACAGTCCTGGTGCCAAACTAGTCGCATGCTAGCAAATCTCCCTTTGACTCCCAAGGGCGGCGACCGCCCGTGGTGGTGACTGCCTGGGACAGGCTTTGGCTAGACTGACCTCGAGACTCCAGGAAATCACAATGGCTAAACCAGCAAAACTACGAAGAAGTGAAAATTATGCTGGGGCTCGCACAATTAGTGAAGAAAGGTCATCCAAGTGTCCAAGTGAAGTGCTACTAAAACAATGCAAAGTACGTTATTTTTATTCCATTAAGCATACAACAATCAACAAAAAGGCAATTTATGGGTCATTTTAACCAGATAATTTGCTTTAATATAAGTAGGGGTTACAAATATCACTAAGTTAGTGTCCAGAATCAAACATAAGGTGCATATTTAAACTAACTTTAAAATTGTGAAGAGTATAACGGACGATTGGTATGTGTGTAGCATCCAGATTTGTAAAGAACACCATAAATTTTACTTCTTTACAAGTCATTACATATTCGGACATACAAAACCTGATGAAGAAAAACAATACGAAAGACTATGAGAGTGATGATGATGTAGCTGGAGTCCGCTCGGATAGCCCATATTCCTTATTCTTGTGCAAGGTATTGCGATCTGAAATGAATAACGAATAAGAGGTAGGACATGATAATATGATCGTCGATTGATGACGATGCTGACATTTATTGGTCAGCTATAAGATTTATTACAGATTCTCATCCTTGCATCTTTTTCTTCTGGGTATCGATCTTCCTCGTCACACGAACTCTCACCTATTCTCATTTTGCGATTCACTGGAAAAAAAAACTTACTGCTTATTGTGTCGACGTTTCCGGATTTCACACAATCCGATTATAACGACTAAGAGGAGCAGAATAGTGATTATTATCGCCAGCGGATAAATCCATGCTAGTTCACCTGAAATTCTTTGAGTAGCAACGTCAGAAGAAATTGAAAGTACTGTGAGTACGAGAATAAATTGAGACTGTTCTTAACTCCTTTAACTTATTATTTACTGCCTACTCTTTTTAAGGGCAAGGTATATATTGCGAAATATAACTTTAATGATGCTGAGATATTTGCAAAACTCCGGACCGCAGGTGTCTGCTGTAAGGAAGGAACGCGCTGTTGTCCTTTCCGGGGAGTAACGCGTTCACCACCACGCCATGCGGGTCCTTCGTTTCGCCTTTCAGCTAGTTCTATGGATTTTTTCTCATCAATCACCCGTCAGCGAAATTGATCTGGGTTGAAACAGGCGAAACAAAAGACCCGCATGGTGTGGTGGTGAACACGGTACTCTCCGGAAGGGACAATAGCGCGTTCATTCCCACCCGCAGACAGCAGTGGTCCGGAGTTTTGCAAATATCTCAGCATCATTAAACTGTGCTTAACGTTAATTGTTGGGTACAACTGACAGGAGATTTCTGCGTTACCGTGTCTACGTTAGAACTACACTACTTTTTATCAGAAGGATTGCACTTACATAAAGACGATTTTGACCGGGTGGTTGTTATCATGGTAACAATGTTATAACCTCGAGAAGAAATGCACTATTACTTTTGAAAATGGCGCGTATAGGGGAGTGGTCGAAGACGCCCTGCAATACACCATGGAATCGGTTCCCATCGCACCAGGCCAACCAAGCCTTTTATCTCTCCGGTGTCGGTAAATTGGTACCGGACTTGTCTGGAAGGATACCAGCACTAGTTCGATACATCAGTAGGCTACCGCGAGCCATTGTAAAGGCCATATATACATTCAATCACCTCCAACGATGCTTAATGAAGTCGAATGCATGGCGCATCCCTTAAGGACTGATCAACGCCAAGAGCTTCCTATCCTTATCACTGTTTTTAGAAATTTAATAATTGTAGAAAAGGCTTTCTATGTAAACTCTGTTCTGCATAGGTTTCGAATCTTCTAGAACCCTAGAACACAAACGTGATAGTTGGTTCGACTTCACGTACAGGGCAAACCAAGCCACTGATCCCTCAGGGTTTAGCAACTATTGGACTTGTCTATGAGACAAAAACATCGACTTGATACATCGATAGGCTACCCAGGCTGATGAATAGGCCAGATACGCATTCAATCACCTCTGCGATGCTTAATGAAATCGAATGCATACCGTAACCCTTAGAAAGTCGGATCAATAGTGAATAACTTGTCTTTTTATCCTCATAGATTTAGGAAAAGAAATGCGTAAGATCGATGTCGGACAGGAAAAGTGCTGACTAAGCGCGAGAATCACTCAGGTTAATTCTATTTGAAGATACTGAATTGTTGCAAAAAGAGGCACTAGAGTTTCGCGAGCAGTAGCTATTTGTAGAATCCTCACAATAGTCACCTAACAACCACAACGTTGCTGAGATATTTGCAAAACTCCGGACCGCAGGTGTCTGCGGAGGTGAACGAATGCCCTATTGCCTTTTCCGGGGACTAGGGCGTTCACCACCACACCATGCGGGTCCTTTGTTTCGCCTGTCTCTCAGTTGGTTCTATCGATTCACGCCACCAGCAATCACCCATCAAAGAGGTTGATCAGGGGAGCCCACATTGAACCAAGTTAAGCTGAGGCTGTAGTTGAAATTCTAACAGGCACCTTGTTTTCTTTGAAATTTTCCACATTCCAAAAAAATTTTGACATAGATAAGAATTTCTTGCAGACGTACTCTTTACAGCGAGTATTCTATCGATTACGATCAACGGTTTACTGGTTTTTCCACCGGCTGTGTATTCGTTGACGGCTTCACAGGTGTAGAAACCAGCGTGTTCATAGTCAGCGTCGACAATCTGGAGGGCGTTACCGTCGAGCGCGACCTTCTCACTCAGTTCTGTTGTAAATGTAAAAATTACTCAGCAAGTCATTGTATGATTACTGCTACACAATTTTCTATAAGCAATAAATAATAGCTCCGCTACGTTGCCAATCTTTTCCCATGGTACAACCGGTAAACGGTGTGTTATTGAATCTTCTTCATGCATACTTAACTACGCTTAATCTTGCGACCGCCACAGACTAGACCTCAGTTCCCGTTACGTATGGTGTGTAGTTGAAAATTTTCCAAAAAAGGTCTTTGCAAAGTATTTCGCCTAGGTTATTAGACCCTATTATGAACCATGTTTGGCCAAATGTTTGTGTTGGAAACTAAAAACTGAGTAGAAAAAAAGTGTAAATAAGCTGCTTGCAGTAAAACACACAGTCGGAAGTAATGCTCATTGAAGTTAACGAACAGAGTCCAGCCTGCTCACCCATGAACGCATTGCCATCAATGCGTATGGATCACTTATTTTGCCAACAGTGAGTTAAGTAGCACTGATATTTACAGCAACTAATCGTAACATATCGTGTCATATGTATCCCTGCGTACAGAAGTTTATTACGAATTACCATACAGTAGTTTAATACAAAGTAATTATAAGTGTTGTTCTTTGATATAGCAATAGGAATTACACTTCACTCTTTATATTTTCAACAGCGGAAATCGATATCGCTGAGCAAGGCACTACCCCTTCCACAGCTTCTACTATTTTCTACCGGAATTTGCAGAAAATCATAGTTTTAACTATGGAAAATTCTTTAATTAGATGGCAGTCAAACTGGATACAATCTTATTCCGAGTAGAGGATTTCTCACGGTAATCCTTCAGCACCACCCAACTGTTTAGCGCCTCATTGTGGCTAGGAGGTATTCCCGGGTGTTGGACTGCAATGGAGCGGAGGGATGCATCCCCCGGCAGGGTCTCCCAAGCTGAGACGCATTGCGACGTTTCCATCAGGAAGCCTAGCCAAAAGTTAACCAATACCAAGATCCACCACCGTCCTGGTATCAAACTAGTCGCATGGTGCAAATCTCCCTCTGATCCACAAGAGCGACGACTATCTGTAGTGGTGAGCGCCTGGGGCAGACTTTGGCCAGGCCGCCCTCGGGACTCCAAGGAGCCACAATGGCTAAACCAGCAAAACTTCGAGAAATGGAAATTATGCTGGGGGCCGCACAACCAGTGAGGAAGGGCCGTCCAAGTGTTCAAGCATCCTCCAGCAAATTATGACTTTTGAGTTTTGCATCCTAACGTGAACCTTGTTGTATAGTTTAGAAGCACAATTTCTTATTTCTAAAAAGTAGTTCTTCCCTACGTGTAGTGTGTCAAGCATAAGTCCGTTTCACATTAGACAGGATTAATTAATCCACAATATAATAACCTTTTACCGATTTTTCAAGTGAAGAAAGTTCTCTTTAATCGAAGACGATGGCAA